TGTTCTCACGGAAGGTGTGGATAGGGCCCCCCACCGCACTCATATTTGGTGGTGCACCCTTTGAGCCACCTGTGTACTGGAATCAGTGCTGGGTGCCGTAGCTCTAGAATTGCCAACTTACGACCTGGGAGAGCAGACCCAGGCAAACGTTTCCATGCCATATTATTGGGCCTTTTGGTAAAGTCACGTAGATAGGTTCTTATTTTCTTTTAACCTATCGACGTGACTTTACCGAAAGACCCAATAATATGAATTCCTGCAGTCACGAAAGCTCTAAGTCAAGGTTTCCATGCCAATCAAACTCTGTCTCTCCACGTGGTTCAAGCAAGCATTTATCTCTCTCTGTGTCTCTATGTTGTCTCTCTCTGCCCGTATGTCTATCTTTGTGTCTCCGTGTCTGTCTTGACCTCTCTCTCAAATTTCACACTTAACTGCTAATTTAGCAATCCTTGGAAGAACGTAATCAACCAGGCCATGCGTTAATTGTGTGTTGACCGACTTTCTGTGTTGCATTGCATTGCATTTCCAAATTTTGACTAAGTTTGTTTGATTTAGTGTAGTTTATCTCTCTCTGTCTCCGCTCGTTTTGTTTTGTTTCCTGATGTTGCGCCTGGTCTCTCATTGACATGCTAATTTCTCTACCCCCCCTCTCTCTGCCCCCCTCTCTCTCTCTCTATTTAAGGCCTTGACACAGGCGTTGTTTCTCTGTGTGCCTATGTGTTTGTCTCTCTCTCTCTGTGTCTCTGTTATCTCTCTCTGCTTACGTGTCTGTCTATGTGTCTCCGGTTCTGTGTTTACTCTCTCTCTTAAATTTAGCAATCTTTGGAAGAACGTAATCAACCAGGTAGGGTGTTGACTGTTATGTTAGCCGACTATCTGTGTTGTATTGCATTCTATTTCTAAGTTTACTAGGTTTTGTTTTTCTTTTTCATTTGTACCTGATGATGATTGCTTGTGTTGCAATCGAAACGTCGTATGCTATTATTTAATCTATTATTTTATCTTTCTACGTGACTTTACCGAAAGAACCAAAGAGTAAGCATTGTGACTGCTGATGAGACATTGAACGTTGAAGCCCAGTCTATAGTTTGCTTGTGTTGAACCAATGCTGCAAACATTACGCAATCGCAGAATGTAGTGTGGCTGATGGGGTGTGTAAAAATTATATAGATTTTGTATGTGGAGGGACAGATATCGAGAGGAGGCGAATGTTTGCTTCGTTGTTGTGTCCACGTATGGTGGCGGTTGAGCGCGGGGCGCCCTCTGGTGGCCACCACGCGGCGACCATCGCCCAACATTTACACCGCGCGCCACGGTGACGCTCCTCGGAAGCGAAGCGGGAATGAACCTGGATATTGCTTTGTATGGGCGACCACAATGCAGAGCAGGTGTTATGGACTAGGAGGATACGAGTGCAGTGCAGAAGAGTGCATGACAGTGTATTACGCCTCCACGTCTATGTCCCATGCCTTCATCAAGCGTGGTCCAGTTTGGGCAAATCACCCCACCGCGATCTGCACAGCGTCGGGAGGGCCTCGTCCAACAGTGGATTCCCACCAGCGCTGTGGGTGTACACGATGGAGCCGAATAGGCAATGCACTGCGATGGAGCCTACCCTGTGTTGACATTGCAGGGAACAGCCCTTCGAGAGGACGTTCGCTGCAGAGACGAGGGCGATTAAATCAACTCGTGTGCAGGTTCTAGAGTAATTGTTGCATTGGAAGAACCGTTGGTCATGGCCACAGCTTGGGGAGGCATTCATCCAGCAGTGGATAGATCGTGGCTGATGACTATTATCCCACACACCCCAACAATGCACCACACGTGGGGTTGCCACCTTTTCCAGGTTTGTCCCCGACAGTCCGGGAATTGGGATCTGTGCTCCGGTGGCATCAATTGATTTTGTTCCGAGCTTTGGTACCGGTATTGTATAGTGCTGAACCTTTGATCACAGAATATTGTCACAGTTCTCATAGACCTAGACTGAGAAACAAGAGCGATTTGGTCAACAGTGGAAGAGGTTGCGACTTGAGCTACTCTACACGCAGTGCTGACTACTCTACCTGATAGCACACTGCACGACACATGTGGACACTTGACACTATCACAAATGATACCTCAACGAAGTGGCTTAGTACGTGCAAATGTATCACAGCCAAATACTCTAAACGCACGATTCTAAATGTGGAGCGAAAAACCGGAGAACCCGGAGAAGAATCGACGCGACAATGGGGAGAACACGCAGACTCCAAAGATACACAGCAGCAGAGGTCAGCTTCTGGATCGAACCCACGACCTCCTGTATTCCATGCGAGCTAGTTAACATCTAGCCACCTCATGGTGCAATACACTGCACATCGCGGAAGTGCTCCAAGCTACTTCGTTGTTTAACATGTCGGCTTTCGCGACCAATGTCATCCATAAGATAGTTTTTATGTGGTTGGACGCGTGAATGTGTCGTTAAACCCGTGTCACCACCCGACAGCCAATTAGTAAGGTTCGTCACGTAATCGGAACATGCCAATTCGTTACTCGTGTGTTGGAGAGCAAATCCACAACATCTACAATCTAAGTACGACGTTTTGCCAGTAATTACAACGAGCATCATCAGACAGACAGATTTGTGGAGAAATTTGCTTCGGTCTTGAGACGGATAGATGTGACGTCACTTGTAAGTCCTTCACGTGCGAAGGGGGGGGGGGGGATTAATGAATGCATATATATTACAATGGTTAGCCATTAGCAGTTGGGTTATTCATATGGTAATTAAGAATACAAATTTATAACAAAATATTAAAATGTAACAAATTTACCTTTTCAGGGAACTCACCATATCATCTGCGTGTCGGAATGAGTGGAAGGGTGACGTGCAAACAGGATTTCTCCACAAATCTGGCTGTCCGCCTGATGATGCTAGTTGTAATTACTGGCGAAACGTCGTACTCAGATTGTAAATGTTGTGTACTAGTAACGAAGTGGCATGTTCTGTTTACGCGACAAACTTTACTAATTGGCTGTGACGGGTGGTGGCGGGTTTAACGACACGTTATATTTACGCGATCAAAAAAAAACCTAGATTACTTCATGTTTCTCCACGTGTGCCACAATGCGAGCGGGAGGAGGGCACTTGCCCCCTGATGGTCGCATTGGGTAGCGCCCCACGCGACCGCGATCATCATCCTCGCTGTTCAGTCCCGTCTGATTGACCAGTCACAGTGGCCAGTCACTCACTCAGCCTGTCATTAATCGGGCTCTCAAGTGTGGGTTGGTCTTGGCACAAAAACACCCATCACAATCAATTTAATTCTGCTCGTAATTTTAATAAATACTACCTGTAAGAATAAATGCAACAATGGTTGATTGTCAAGCGACGGGCGTTATTGTCAGCCGAAGGGCTAGTGGGAAAGCATTGCATCCACTACTGTGTGGAGCAGAAGTCGTCACATGAAGCGATGTCAGCAGTAGCTCCATGCTATCTGCTTCGACGGGCGGTTCTGTAACACGGAGGATCCCAACGGCTCTGCGAGATTTCCTAATGGGCACGTCGTCCAATGGTAACGTCGATAGCACAATCGGGATGACATTTGTGGAAAAAGACAAGCGCATGGTTATCCCGCGATTAAGCAAATCAATTATCAATTGTCGCAGCTCAAAAGACAAGACGAAGCCTTGGACTCGAGTGGGGAGGGGGCACTCTCCCCTGAGCGGGAAGCTAGCTATCAGATGAAGCCGCGTCTCGCTGTTTGTTGTGGGGAGTCTGCGCTGAGGACGCAATTAAGGAGGAGCTGTGCCAGACGCCGGCAGAGTTTAGGGGCCGCTGGGCGAGGGCGCGAAACTCACCCGGCCGGGCCCAATTAGTCCTGCGGCGCCGCGGGAGTCACCGGAGATAATTGGGCCGAAGGAGCGAGACGGGTGGGTGGCGGGGGGGGGGGTTCATAGGGGTGCAAGGTGTTGGTTGGGGAGACGGGGGAGGGAGGAAGGGGGTGGGGGGCATGAAGGGTGGGGGTTGGGATGGTCTCTGGCCGTGACGGGCGGACGGAGAGAGCGTGAAATGAAGTGGGCGCCAGCGAGGAATGAGGAAGCCATTTCGCATCTCAGAGAGGCGCCTTTACGCAGGGCGCCGGCTTCCCTGAATGCTAAGCGTGTCGCGGGAGCACGAGGGGTCGTGGCGGATCTGAGGGGCGTTCACCCAGCAGTGGATTGAGCGTGGCTGATGATGAAGCGCTTTGCCCGCGCCGATGAGGGATTAAGCTCCTTTCTCATCCCGATTCCGTGATGTGGGATGTGCACTCACACCAAGTGGCGGAGCTATCGAGTGTGCAGGCGGTGCACCCGCGCAGGGGGGGGGGGGGGACACACACAATTCGGAGGAGTCCAGGCACCAGGCGTTGAAGATGGGAAGCTGGAAAGGGGGGAAGGGCGTTTAATTCACCACCATGTCAACCTTTACTCTCGCCCCAAGCCTCGGTGCAACCTGGAGTCAATACCTGGAGTCCACTCGCCCAGTTCGCCAACCGGGCCGGCTCACTTCTCTATTGACCGTGCGAACACGGCAGTAACAGAGTTAGGATTTTTAGTTTTTTTATTAGTCAGCTGGACAGGTCTCCGTAGTCTCGATGTGAGTGCTCTTGCCAAAACACATCTGGCAACCCCAGCAGCATTTGATGAGCGAGCCTGACACTGCCAATGGAAGGTCGCAACCGATCCAGAATTTGTCTTTCTTCAGCAAATATTGGTCTGGAAAGCCAATCCGTCGATAATTATCAATGATGTTTTGTGTACTATAGACGCAGAACGGAGTTCATAGAAAGGGAGTCGATTCGGAGTGTGGCAAAGGCTCGCCATGGGCACTACGGATTCGAACGCCAGCTCTTGATGGCATCTGATGAGCAGCTTCATGACACTGCGCGGCGGAGGCGGCGGGACAAGACAAAGACACTCACCCCCACGCCCCCCAGACCTCCCCCCAAACCCCCACCTCCCTGCTCCCCCGCCCCCACACCCAACCGTACTGCACAGTAAAAACGGTATAAATAGGAGGGCAATGAAAATATAGAACGCACCCGTTCGTAAAACGAGATTTACCACGAAATGACAAACTAACAATAAAATCGTGGCGGCGCTTAGAGCAGAGAACACACACGGCGATGGAGGGGAGTGGTGTGAGAGGGGGGCTGTGGGGAGTGGAGGCGATGGGCCGTGGTGGGCCGAGTCGGGGTCTCGGGGATTATAACAGTCACCGCAGATTGAGGCAATATTCCGGCCCAAGTTACAGGCGATAGAGGCCATTTCAGAGACGTAAGGGGCGGACTAAGGGCTGCATCCCCCATCTCCTTGACGGGGGAGATGGGGGGAGCATAATGGTAGTCGGGCGACATAGACTTGTACAGAGATGCGCACACACACACACGTGACCCATATACTTGGAAAGAGACCCATAGACTCCCACGGACTGAGTTGTGATTAAACCACGCTACCAAGAGCAACGAGTCAAGTCCCAGGCCGGTCACCAATGACTGCGCACAAAAGAGCGCAACAGCATTGCAACAGAATGACCAAATCACTGAATGCGCCCGATCTCGGAAGCTAAACAGACTTGAACCTGGTAAGTCCTTTGATGGGAAACTGTCTGGGCATACCAGATGCTGTATGTTTTGGCTGTGAGAAAGCCAGATCTGTGTTGGGGTTGAAGTGCAACCCCCTCGGCAGCGTGGTGGTTTTCTTCAGGTCTCCGGTTTCCTCCCATAAAGCCAGATTATCATTACCGATGGAATTGGCCAAAACATCCGAATGCAGTGAGGCTTATCTGGATAAACAAAGGAGATAGTAGCATTACTATCAACCTATGGGAAAGGGGCAAGAGATCCCCTGAGAGGGAAGCAGCGACCCCCGTGGTCTGCAGGACCTCTAGCTGAGACCCTACTTACACAAAACAGATGTCGGAGGTTCGCCGTATGCGTTAATGCGATTACATCGGCGAGTCCGCGTCCACTCTCTCAAACCCATCTCCGCAGCGGCACAGACGCGTCATGCCCTGATTGTGTGCACAATTAACAACGAAGAACTCAACACGGTCGTCAATAACGCTGTGGCCTTAAGATAACCCATATATAAGGCGACATTTCAGGCAATGGCGCTTTTTCGTAGCGCATAAGAGCCATTTCTCAAAACGTTGCCCGTTAGATTTTTCCTGTTTAAAAACAGGGCTGTTGGTGAATGTGTGGAGTTTGATAATTGTGCTTGTGCACCACTGCCAACGCAGCAGCATCACGAAATAATTCGTCATATGCGCCATCATCAGTCAGGCTCAATTCCCTGCTGGATGGAGGCCTCCTCAAGCCACCACCACCGCTCACGACCCTGCAGGGCCAGCCGGGATGGTCGTGCGGAATTTAAGAACATGCAAAGCTCCTTGCCAATCCGCTGCTGGATGAGGGCCTCCACAATGCAGAGCCTCGCACACTCTCGGGAGCTAAGTGGGCTTTGGTCTGGATAATTGGTGCCCACCAGGCACGCCCAGTTGACAAAGGCAGCACCAAGACCATGCTACGGGGTAATCAGCAGAGGGAGCATTGGAGCCAAATCTAATATTGTACTGTATGCACGTCGAACTTCTTTAACAACGTTAGTCAACCGTGCTGATCACCAGCGCTCACTAACCAGAATGGTCATAAAACCGATAAGACTACAAAAAGTGTGCAAAGGCTCTCATTCAGCAGTGGATTGATAAAGGGCTGGACATGTCTGCATGTGAATTGATATTTACATACTTCTTTTTACCCAGGTTAACCTCATTGAGACTCATGACTCTTCTTGAATAGAGTTTTGACACGTTTTAGTAGCAACGGTTGCTATGTAAATTCCAACTGAGGAACCTGCAGGTATTTTTTTTATTTCATCTATTTGGTTCATGACGGCGGCACACAATGGCCTACTCTCGTAGTCCTGTTATGGTTAACACATCTGCAATATTAATCATGGCGGCCGCCGGCTTCGAACCGCGAGCCTCTGCACCGGCGGCGAACGCACGACCGCCACACACATGGTATTGCGTGTGCAGTGATCATAGTTAATACCACCGCGTCCAGCAGAGGGCGCCGTGGCCACGCTACGGGGATCCACGGCACGAGCGGCCCCATGACCAACGTCTGGGATCGGTCCGGCTCGTTTGCTTGGAAATTGATTGCAGCCAATTATTAAAACTATACTCCGGCGCCACAAATCATCGCATATTCTAGTCTCATCATTTTAAAGATTCCAACAATGCATAAAACAAACCTGGGAACCTTCAATGCCACAATTTCACCGCTCGAGCGATCAAGGAGACTGAGCAACCACTTATTTTTGCTCAAGATTTCTCGCAGAAATCGCCATGCCATTTGGTTGGGTTGGATAAAGCGTCTCCTCTGGACGTGAAATCCGCGTCGCGCGCCTGCCGGCAAATTGAACCACGCGCTTAATTGCGTCGAGGCCGCCGTCCACTTAAGTTCGTCTATTCTTTCTCGCCAATCTTGGCCCGGAGCGCTCGTTCCTGCACCGAGCGTGAGCTCCGCACCGAGAGCCGCCAGCAACAAAAGCGAAATCACGCGGCGCTCACAGCGACGCCGCTCATCCTCCCCGCTGGGTCCTCTATTTTTTGGTGCTGTAATGAGTGCAGTGCCATTACTGTGAGAGTAATTTACCTCCGTTTTCGAATCGAGTTTGTTTTGTCGCCCCTTCTCCCTGCGCGTTTGCCCCCTCGCCACCTGATTGCTTTGCACAAAAAGTCCTCCCCGGAGCGAAGCGAGAGAGCGAGGTGTGGGCTCCGTGGGCGATTTTTGATGAATATGACCGCGCTGTTATTTTTTTTGTGTACGTCAATGTAGAGCTGTGCTGATGTCAAATCCAATCAACTGAAGCGTTCTACTTTTCATTACAATCTTTATACTAAAATGAACTCAGCAGGATGCACGCAAACTCATTCAAAAAAGAGGAATTGACTAAATACATCAATGGGAGTCTGACCAGGTGAGAAGGCTAATCTGGGTATATGAACCCGTCTGTGCGGACAATTGCATGCTAGCCCCTCTTAAAGCCATAGGGGTTTGTCCGAGTACATCGACTTAATCGTACATGCAGAGACGCACTCCTTAACTGGCCAAGCATACCAGCGCAAGACCCTCTTTAGCTTCCGTGGAGCATTACTGAACAGATGGCAGGAATAGAAAAATGTGAAAGAATGTGCTGCCCTTCAACCGAAGGCCTCCCCATGTCAGTAATATGAGCATACTTCCCCACGCTGGGCAGTGTGCATTGGTGGGGGAAGGAGGTGTGCAGAGACTGGTTCACGTATCACTCGCCACCATCACCACCATCACTCACCAGCAGCAAACACAGAAACATCATGCCAATCATCAGCAGCATCATACAAAAAAAATCTAAATTCAGGTGTAAAAAATGCTCATGCAAACACCTTTGTTCGATTAGACTGCATTAACAATCAAGCACTCGTGAGCAGCGCAGCACGATGAGCCTCGCACTGCCAGCACTGCCGAGACCCCGCGCTCACGGGGACACAGTAGGTCAGGGGCGGGGGACAAAGTATATTGCTTGTCCCCCCTAAACAGCCTTCATGGGTGCCCATGGCTACCTGACTTGGGCCCCCCACAGTTACTCGCCCCCACAAAGCTTCAAGATCTTTCCCTCGTGCTCATAGAGAGCGGTGAAATCTCGTCTGCTTGTGGCGCTGCGCGGCAAACGATCGACACGTGTGCGGGTCGACCGCTCGTGGTGACAAGGGCCGAAACTGCGCCACGCGCACCGCCACTCCCCCACCCCCCCAACTCCCGGCCGCCGTTCGGACCCACACGGCACATTCACCAACCTCTGAGTGGCATGATTTTGAAAGACTGGCGTTTTGAGTGGTACACTATATTGTTTTATTATGCAACCGACAAAGATGCGGACTTTTAATGTCGAAGGAAGACCTACATATTTCCCACAATGGCAACTTCAAAAAGATGATCCTGGAAAAATCAGGACAGGTGGACAGTCGAATTAGCAAAGAGGGTTGGAGTCTTATTCGTATGGCACGGTTGGCTACGTACAGTGCGAAAGAAGTTACAAATACATCCATACATTGAAGTGCAACTACGATTTTACATTGAGATGGTTGAGCCAGAAGATTGCGTCAGGAGTAGCAGAGTGTATCGCTCTGATGATGCCTCCTCCATTGTATTTGCCAATGGGGCAATGAGTTGTCATATGTTCCCTAGTCCTCTGCGAGTTGCAGTTTGGGATAGTGATAAGGCTTCTGATTCGCTGCAGCAAATATTTTTCAGTGTCAGTATTTGACACTACATGTAGGGCAGTTGCACAGCTTAGGAAAACCTCACAGTAAATTTTAGAATCATCACAATTTTATATATATGGCAGGTCATTTTGATGGTAATAATCGTTTTAGAAAATATGGCTTATTCATGGATTGGTTTGATGTACACACAAACCAGACTGCACCTTCACCACCATCCCAGCGTGGATGAAGACGTCAGTTCGTCTCAGTACGTCCAACACCGCTGTGTTAACGAGCATTTCTCCCTCATCAAGAAAGGTGTACGGATGACTTCTATCTGAATCACAGTCCCAATTGGTTGACATACTACGCCCAATTAAAAATCATTGCGTGATTATGGTAATAAGTACCCATGTCCTTAGTGTCTGAAACGTACGCCTGAGATCGTGGAACTGTCCGCCAGCACTGCCTCTCGCAATCGGGGACGTGGGAACGACTACGGTTCCTGGTTCGACTATGGGCGACGGACATCTCCTCCTCGTAGTCCTCAATTTCCACCACCACCACAACCTGATGCTCGTCACCCCCTACTCAAGCTCAGTGCGAATCCCCTGGAGGGCCAGGGAACTCTGCCTCACATTCGGCTCCTCGAAGCTCCGCAACAGCCATGGTGGGGCCCACTCACACTGTGGACTGAGACAGCGCTCGGTGTTGGAAATGCGAGAGCCACTCGCATGTCCCAGAGAGAAAGACCAAACGACTCAAAAGCATTGAGACTTGGCGATACTTTCTTATTGTTCTAATGTGACACTCTGTAGGGAAGAAGGGGAGGTGCTGGTGGGGGTGGGAAGTGTTTGGAAGTGTGAGGGGGGGGGCTGTGAGGGGCTCAGAGGGGGTGGAAAGGTGGGTGGTGAGTGGGGGAGTTCTGGGGAAGGGGGTTGTTCCATCCCTTGCTCCTATTAATGGCCAGGCACATCCTCTTCCTCTTTGTCCTCAACCTTGATGTGGCCAGCCTGTGTTTGCCAACCTGTGGACAGATCGACCCACCAGAGATTAAACTCAACCAAGTACGTATGCCATACAAGTGTGTGTACCAGCACACATACATACATACGCATATATTACTCAACTAACTGGGATTACACACAACAATCAGCACCCCCTACTGGCAGAATGACACCCGATTGCATGTCAGGTGCCAAGACACCTTGTGCCCACAGGAACAGCTATTACCAGGAGTGCCCTTTCAAATGTGTTGAGATGAGATGTGATATAATATGCTCCAAGACACCCCGGTGTACAAGAGGGTGCAAAATCATTCCCATTATTATCAATACAGCCCCCGCGCGCCTTTCCAGATTGTAGTGGTAAGCGCTGCTAGCAAGCAGCTGCTAAGGGCGGCATAGTGTACGAGTGGATGGTGTGGGCAGCCCCAAGGACAGCAGCATTTGTCTTCCCAGTGTTGATCTTTACACTGATACTTGATACGGGTTTATTTTCTCTTGCTAAGAACAAAGACTGATCCCTGTCTAAACATTGATCCCCGTTGAGCCACATAGGCTGCAGCAGCAGTGCTGTGAACAAACAACTAATTAAGGCTTATAGCACAATAAGGGCTGGCCACCTTTGTCTTCTCATTGTTGGTTGATAACTAATCAGACAACCGGCTATCCATTCACTCAAGCTTACCGTAACCCACTATCCAGCAAACCATGTGAACTGCCCCTATCACTGACCCATTCCACTATCCCTGCCCCTGTAAGCCTGGCTCTACCCCAGATTGAACCAGGATTTCCACGGAGCCCAGGCAGTGGGCTCCGTGACGCTCCCCTCAATTACGCAGGTCACACGCGGCTGCGCATCTCATCACGACGACGCGACCTCTCGTTGCGATGTCAATACTGATTACGGCGGGGAGATGCGCCACGGAGAACATTTCCGTTTGGGGGTGACGCGCCGATTGATAAACGATAGGGGGCTCGCACAAAAGGGACTTGTGATACTGTACTCACTCTCAAAAAACCACCCACCATCCCCCCCTCCTCCAGCTGTCCCACCCCATCCCGCGGATAGATCGCTCGCAATCGTTGACCACTGGAATTACGTGTCACAGAGTGATGCGCAAATATGAATTGGTGGGTCAAAGCGGCGTCTGCCGTGACGTGATAACACAAATTACAAACCCCCACACCATTTATGATTCCCCCAGTTCTCTGTTGAAACATCGGCCCGGCGTCAGCATCGACGTGTCCACTTTTTGTCGCCAGGCCCCACGACTGAATCTGGGCCACGGCTCGGAGAGGGTGTTTAATAGAGATATATTGAGGGCCACGGTAGGGCACAGGAGGCCAATGGCGATGGGGCGACCGACTCGTCGAATTACCCCGACTCGGCGACTGTGTAACGGGCAGGGATAGGACTGGCGTATGTATGTATGTATGCATGTTGAACTTTTTTTGCACAATGCATAGCCAACCGTGCTAATCAGAGGTGTGGTGGATATGTGGCTAACTCATTACGGATCGGGCTTATAAATTGGCTGGTAGGCTAGCTGCTTACGGCTAGTATTGGTGGCTGGTAGCCTTGCTCGTTCAGAGGTAAAGATAGAATTTTGTTGGATAGTATGCTCCACTCACAGAGTGTTCATGCCCAATGGAATGTACAACCACCAGTTCGGTTTTTGGGCCTAATTGTTATCTACAATTCTCACAGCAGAGTGCTCAACCCTGTACCAGTGAGCGAAAGAGGGAGAGAGAGGAGCTTGTAGTCTAGCGGCGCCACTACCTCCGCTCTCGCCCGCTGAGAAGCGGTCCCTGTGCGGTGGCGGTGGTGCTCGCGGGGAGACGCGACACGGCGCTGATCACATCGGACACCGATCCTCGCTGCCATCATGCGCGGCGGCTGGGGAGCAGCGGTGCACGGCGCGCATTGATTGCACCCTGATGAGCGCACTTAGCGGCCGCCGCCACTGATTGCCGCTCCTTCCCCCTGCCGTGGCGTGGAGTGGGGGGGAGAGGTTTCCTGGCCAGTTTCCTGGGAGCGCCACAATTATTTGCAACCTGTACGCCTGATTGTTTGCGAATTTCGCTGCGAGTCGAGTTGAGACCCGCGGATGCTGCCGGACCTCACCCCACTGTGCGGGGTCTCGTGAACCTGAGCAAAGTTACGACAGCGCGCGTGATGCCAAAAAGTGAAAAAAGAACGGAAGGTGAAAGGCTGCACGTGGCGATGGGAAGAGAGACAAACCGTTTCTGGGTGTAGCACAACAACCAATCAAGATGCTAACAAACTCGCCATATCCCTAACCAGGTAACCGGCAGACGCACCGAGCAGGCCGCAATGTAATCGCTTCCCAACCTGCACTTTTAATAACGTGCGCTATTCCACCGCACACTCTTTAGGTACATGCGTTTAGAATATTTGGCTGCTATAAATTTCCACATGATGATAAGCATCTTCTTTGAGCTATCTTTTGTGGCTAGGTCACTTCTGAAAAAGAGATATATAGCTCAGTGGGCCTTAACTGGTATAGTAAAAATAATTAGTTAACTCTCCCATCAACCGTTCATACTTGGAGCCAACTCCCAATTCCATTGGGGACCTGAGGACCGTTATTCACGAGCAGGGATGGGGAGAAGAGGAAGTGCTTATTGAATGGAAAGCTGGAGCGCAACTGCAAATAATGGGGGAATTCTTCAATTCCTTTTACGATTTTCTTTTCCCATGCTCCTTTACACTTACTCTTGTCGGTTGTGATGCAACAACGCCGCCAGCTTGGAGCTGCCCGTGGTCAGATATCCGGGGGCACTCCCGGGAGGAGAGGGATTTCATCCGGGGAGTTAATTAAGCGCAGCGTGGCTCCTCTTGTTTATTTATCACGTGCTCTTTGACCGCTTGCTCTTGTATGAATAAATTAAGGAGGCCTTTGTTGTCGTGTTCGCACTCACTCTCTCTCCGCGGTGAGCTCCTCGATGTCGTGGCTTTGCAGATCTTCCTGCTGCCTAGCCTGCACGCATGCCACGCACACAGGCACTACTACAGACTCCTCCATCAGCATGCTCATTGCCTCAACGATGCTGTCCACGCGTGTGATTAGAAACTTGGCAAGCTGAGCTTGCATAATAGAGGTTTTTTTGGGTTAGATCGCGTAAATATATAAATGTGTCATTAAAACCCGCCAACACCTGACACAGCCAACTAGTAAAGGTTGTCACGTAAACCGAACATGCCAATTCGTTACTAGTACAGCACTTACCGGTACAGCACACCAACACACCGGTACAGCACACCAACACACCGGTACAGCACACCAATACAGCGGTGTGCTGTACTAGTGACAAATTGGCATGTTTACGTGACAACGTTGACGTGACAACCCTTACTAGTTGGTTGTGTCGGGGTGGTGGCGGGTTTTAATGACACATTTATTTATTTACGCGATCTAACCCAAAAAACCTTTATTATGGATGATATTGGTCGCGAAAGCCTGTTTTAAACCAAGATGAGCTTGATTCCCAGCCATGAGTAATATATGAACCAATCCTGGGCCTCCCCTAGGTTGTCCTGGCCTTCAATGTGTACCTGGTCCAGTATGTAAACATGAGCACTGGGGAAACAAAGGCAGCTGGTTTTGGCCACACCACCCTATTGAGCGCTGTGCTGGCCTTTCTCGGTGCTCGCTAACAGCACTTGTCTCAACAGCCTGCTTGGCTACACGGGAGATATTTATCATTGCGGTCCCTCGAGGAGAGACTCAGAACAGGCCTCATCGCTGTTTGCCATGGTTGGGAATAAATCTTAAGTGGTTGGGTTCATAGCGCCATGCTGCCCCCTCTTTCACCACCCCATGTCTCATGTCAATAGCCTCTATGACTGTGCATGTGCGTGTGTGTGCATGGGTGTGTGCGCGCACCGTGTGCTTGAGTGGGCTCGTGAGTGAGTGAGTGGCCGCTTACTTCTGCTGAGCGATCCACTGCTGCAAGCCGGACACCGTGAGCTCGCTCTACCTCGTGTCGTTCTGCAACACCTTCAGGGATTGCTCCATCGTCTTCACCTGTCCATGGGGCACACAACGTTCCTCCGTATATCTTTAGCAGACTGTTGGGGCTAGTGTTGTAAGGGAGCACCTATGAAATCTGGTATGGCACGTCCACAAAGGGCTAACACCATGCTAACACCATGCCCTTTCTCTCCTCAGGGCCATGTTTACACACCGCACCAGGTACTAAATTAAGGCTGAGTTGACCTAGGGAAGGCGTAGGACCAGCTCAGATAATTGCCACTCATGTTGGCCGTGAGTGGTAAATGAACTCTATTCCCGACATTCGTAGCATGCGCTAACCACTACAACAGGGGTCGGGAACCTTTTTGACTGGGAGAGCCATAAAAGCCAAATATTTCTAAATATATTTCATTGAGAGCCATATAGTATTTTTAACGTATAATAAATTAAATATGTCTTACTTTTAATGCGACTTCTGGTGCTGCATGGTTTTGCTGATGGCCTTGTAGTCTGGTTCATACGTGGTGAGGTTGAGCTTCATGCAGACGTGACCCGTGAAATTTATCTTCAAAACTAATTTCTGTTTACTTTAAAATGACACAGTATTATTAAGCAATATCACAAGTATTTTAAAATCAGTTCCAAACTGATTTTTATTTATTTTTTCAACTCAAAATTGTCTGGGAGCCATATGCCATCACTGGAAGAGCCATATATGGCTCGCGAGCCATAGGTTCCCGACCGCTGCACTACAAGGACAAAGACCCCTCTCTATATAGCGTTAAGAGACTGTAGGGGCAAGTGCTGTTAAAGAACACCGATGAAGGCCGGTACGGAAGGAGAGGGAGGGAGTGGCCAAAATCATGCCCGGTTGCCTTTGTCTCCCTAATGTAATGTTTACACACCACACCAGGTACTCATTTGAGGCCGAGTCGACGTATGGGAGGCCCAGGACCTGTTCAGATAATAGTCACTGGTATTAGCCAGGTCGCTAGGTTTGTCTTTGTGGAGTTTGGGGGGGATGGGGGGGGGCAATGCCTCCCCCCCCCAATACTGGACACCTTTGTTTAATTTATCTTCAGTAGTTTACAATTAAGATTTAAAAAATATTAAATGCACCCGCGATTCCTAATGTAAGGGACAAAGCGAACCCCTGCCCCCAGAAATATAAATGTCAAACTCCTCCTATGTTTACATGTCACACCAACTATTAATTTAAGGTTCAGTCAACCAAATGAAGGCTGGGACCAGTTCACCTCCTTTTAGGCACAATGCCTGGGTGGGTTGATTTGGGGATCCTGGGTTGCCCATGCGTCAAGACTTCCCTCTCGGTCTTGCTGGTAGGATTCAAACGGGTGCATAACACGACGTTGGGTACCAGCTGGCCTGCAGATTTTCTGTTGGGGTTTACTCCCTTAGCCTCACACTCTTCCGAGACAATCACAAGGCAGTGAGAGGACAGCGTAACCCTAGGATAGCCGGGCCAGTTAAGTCACCCGCTACCCATACAAGTTCAGATAATCACAAGTGATATTGGCCATGGCTGGGAATTGAACTTTACTTGCCCGGCACTTAGCGCAGTGCACTAACCACACACAGGCACGTACGCAGGAATATTGCATGCGACTGGCGTGGTACCGAGAGTCACGTGATCGCTCTGAGCTGGGGCGGGGTGAGCCGGCTGGCTTCCTCTCCTGACCGACACCGCCGCTCAACGCACGCTCGGTGGCCTGGTGATGATGCCTAGAGTGACTCCAGCTTGGCCGTCAGCGCGGCCGCCTGCTGGTTGCAGCACAAGAGATTGGGAGAGGACGAATCGCTCATTTTTACCTGAAAACTCTCACTTTTTGTTCAGTGACACATGACGAAAGAGCGCGAGAGTGCCTCTTGTGCCTGGCTAGCTTGCGCTGACTCATGCGTGGGGGCACGGGAGAAGCCGTGTGCACTGGATTGAATGTCCTTTTTAAGTCTATGGGTCTCTGTGAGTCTATGGGTCTCTGTGTTGTGTCTAATGTGAGTGCGATCAATCGCTCGCATCACCCATCATTGCTTTGGAAACATTTTTGCAGGGAGTACAACTGGAAGCCATTTGGAAGATCCCAGCTCAACACAGTTACAAACTCGTCCGTTGCTGTCCAAATGTCGTAAGAAGGAACAATTAAAACAAAAAATTTCTAGATAGGAAAATGAGTGATCGTGACCACTGTATTAGTCCTCTAATCAGGTCTCGAATGTCACCTGACATCAAGCGACGCGCGTGCATAATGCGCACAGCTTTGCTCTAGGCCACAACCTCAGAACGGTCGAAACTGCTTGTGTGTTATTTCTGCCACCGTGCGTCACATGACCTTTTGTCCACGACGATCTTGAGACACAGGGCCTCATGCAGCGAGGTCAGCTCAGGCCGCACGGCATCCGTCTCCTCATCGCGCTTGCCCAGCGTCTGTTGCGATACATCCGCCTGCGCACTCAGCTGGTCCACGTGCCCCTTGGAGCTCGTGGCCTGGGCACGGGGGTGCGGAGAAGCGCAGCGGGGAGGGCAGAGGTTACACGAGTGGTGTGAGCGGATTTCTCTCTCTCTCTGTAGCGGTGACATCAACCCTTGCTAGGAGCCAGGAGGACCCTTCTCAAGAGCAGCACTTTATGACCGCTCGCCACCGCTCGCTCACGCACTCCTTCAGACAAACACTGCCCGAGTATTGCAGTTAATTTGCAGAACCTTTTTAGAAGCCACCATATTGAAGGGTTGCAACCTCCGAGGTGCAAAGTCTGGAACATATCACCTCGTAAAAGGAATATTTCTCACTTTGATAATGTTGAGAATTGATTGGTTGTCTGGTTTATTGGTTCGAGCATGGATGGCGACAACTTTGGTCACAATCCTTCGGACGTTCTGCACAAGACCTCGAAGGAGCTAAAATGGAACAACTTGAGTTGCCTGTTTGCTCGCACAAGCACCTGCTCCTCATACGGCTGCCAAGCAGCATATTCGATGGGAAAAATAACCTTTAACAATATCGGAGGAGGGGAGAACCACAAGTAAGGCATTGTCTTGTGCAGTGTATTGTTATGCAACTGACAAACTCCCAGACTTATGATGTCCCAGAAGACTTGCAGTTTTCCCAGGACAGCTGCCTCAACAAGAGAACGATCCTGAAAAAACCAGGACGGGTGGCAACTTTACATGCAACGGCTGTAAGAAATGTATTCAACAACGTTGCTAATAACGCCTTATTACTCTCGGGCCTTCGCAAGTGGCAAGGCTGTTGGCTGTGCTAAGTGCTTGCAGTTTCAATTCAAAGTTTTTTTTTTTAGACGACAATGCACACTAACGATTTTCAACTCAGTGGGAAAATGCTGCAAATGTCTCGTCAACGTTTGCTGTTAATGCCTCCTGTGGTCTGGCCGGGGAGGCTCAGAGGATCCAAAGAGCTCATTACCACTCCCCCTGGGATCGCCTGACCACAACACACAACATCATCACGCTGCGCATCAGCTGTGTCAAAAAAAAACCTAAAACACAAACCAGAGGTACCGCGCGCGAAGTTATGCAGCAGGAAACAGAAACAGATTGAGAATAACTGCTTTTGAGACTTTGTGCTGATGACTGCACCAAAGATATTTCTAGAATCATCAATGTATTACAAATGTTGCTAGAGTTAAATATGTATTACCATAATCCCGGTGGCCCAAGTTCAATTTCCGCCCATGACTAACATCAGTGGGTGCCCTCCCCATTCACCAACCGACACATATAATCATCAGGAACCGCAATAGCCACGTTCAATCCCACTGTTGTATGAAGGCCTGCCCAAGCTGTCACGTACACAACAAGGCCCACCATGGGGGCTCTGGTGTGGGCGAATCATGCTGCGATGGTATGGGGACACTTAGGCTTCGGCAAGGTAAGGTAATTTACCCTTTTTACCGGGTAAAAGGGTAAAGGTAAAGGGTAAAGGAGTCGACATGCCCAGGGGTAAGGTCAAGGGCACAGGGTAAAGGTAGCTCGGAAGAATTACCCGGTAGGGTAAAGGTAGCGCGAAGTATTACCCGGTAAATACGGTGCCTTGTTTACCGCTAAAAGCTCCGTGGTGCAGTCCGTGGCCTCCATTTAATAAGTAATATTTTTAAAACTTTTTTAAAAATACGCTTTAATAAATGTGTAATATGAGGCTATATCCGGCTCACTGACGTATCACAACTCGTCATGGTGATTGGCTCTGCCGGTCCTGGTTTACAGCCAATGGGGGGAAGTCTGGGGGCATGGCCCTGACGTGATGGAAAGGTGACAGCTATAAGGATTGGTTCTGCTGGCTTTGGCCTCAGCCAATGGGGAGATGAGTCAGGGGTGTGGTCCCGGGAGCTGACGAGGGAGCCTGGAAGATTCGATGCAGGCTAACGAGGATTGGCGGAAACGTACCACGTGACCCGGGTATTAAATAGGAGTAAAGACGAACGACACGTGGTCAGAACAGGAATGAACAGAGGAAGGGGGCCATGCGGGAGCGCGGCTCTGAGTTGCCACGTGGCAGGGCGTCTCTGTCTGTCTATCTGTCCCTCTCACGCTGCCTATCAGCAGCGTCAAGTAACTGTAACATAAGTTTAATAAAAGACGGATTCCAGAAGTCGTCTCAACGAGCTTTATTACAAATGTACTAGTAATGGCAGAACTCCACGACTCCAGGAAGTGGCCCTGAAGCTTGCCATAACGTAAGGGACCATAGCCAATTACAGCCAACGTCAGTTGAGCGTGGACAATTAGACCCAAGCCGAAACATAACATATAAAAAAGAATGTTTTTTTTTTATGATAGAATATATTGTCATCAGTATGACATAAGTATACCAAGTTTGCAGTCGATACCACATTAGGAAGTGGGTTAAAATTGAGTTACAAGATTTGAAGATACGACAATGACAACGACAACAAGCGTGTAAAATTGGAATCATCGAGAGTATTCTATATGAATAAAGCGCTCTACCTAGCATTTACCGTTATAAACCTTTTTCGTGTGTAGTAGTACCCCAGTAAGTACCCTGTAATCGGGTAATTTGTATGGGGTGAGGGTAAAAGGTAGGGTAAAGGTAGACTCGTTTTTAAATCCTTTATATTAAGTTCACTTGCTTGCTTGCGCGCTTACGACCGTGCAAATCTTTCGGTCGTTTTTTAACCCACTTCCCGTGATCCAATCGAGCTGATATTTTGCACACAGACTCGTTGTGCGTGACACTTTATTTTCGTGAAAATTTTTTTCCAAAATTTTCCACTTTTTAGGATTTTTTTTTTCATATTTAATTTAAAATACCAATGTGATAAAAATGAAACTCTTACTCAAGAAAAACAGAAATGAATAATAAAATAAAACCGATGCCACGCATATAAAGGATTTATAGTGAAAAACTTTTTACCTTTTAACTTTTACCTTACCTTGCCGAGGCCTACTGCTGGTGGAGGGGGGAGTTGGCCCGAGCGGAAAATAATTTTTGAGGCCCCCTTCCCCCTAAAAATTTTAAACTCCTCGTGAGATGACAGAAGAAATATGTCTTCTTGGTTCTTTTGGTAAAGTCACGTAGAAGGGAAATAATAAAATATTAAAAATAAAACATAATAAAATACAATTCTCACGACGTTTCGGCCACAACGCAAGCAGCCGTCCTCAGGTGAAGAACAGGGCTGTCGGAAAGACAGCGCCTGAATGAACACCACCAGGCTTGGCAGCGTATATTTAAGCTGGGTTAGAGGAGGAGGGAGCCTTGACAAGCTTGGTGGTGTTCATTCAGATGCTGTCTTTCCGACAGCCCTGTTCTTCACCTGAGGACGGCTGCTTGCGTTGTGGCCGAAACGTCGTGAGAATTGTATTTTATTATGTTTAATTTTTATTATTTTATTATTTCCCTTCTACGTGACTTTACGGAAAGAACCAAGAAGATGAATTCCTGCAGTCACGAAAGCTTTAAATCGAAGAAGAAATATGGACAAGAGAATAAGTGAGATGAGGACACGTATAGAGCTGTAATTGAGATGAGAGAAGAGAGGTGTAGAGAAGACAGGGGTTAAATTGTTAATTAGACTGTTATGTTTATTAGCATTTGAGTTCAACCTGATATTTGATGCCATCGTATGTTTTATATGAATCTGGGACCCCGTGAACTACCGGGGGGCGTAGGCAATGCCTGCTTTTCTTGAGCCGAGTGTCGCCACTGACCGCTGGGTCTCCACTGCTATGTGATTTGTCTAAGAAACAAAACCCCCATGCGATTTGGCCATCGGACAATTTTCACAGCAAATAGATTTTTTTTTTATGGTTCAGCTGGGAAATTGTGCATTGCTAGGCACCCTGATTACATTATCCAATCTGCGGATCCAATCTGACTGTCTGCAGCACTAATGGAATTGTGTCCATGAATATATAATCTGTGTTTGTAAACAGGGCCCGTGATGGCTCACGGAGATGTACGAGCCTACGGCTATCATAGCTCATCGTCGTTGTTGTCGTCGTCGTCATCATCAGCTATCGTCAATCCAATGCTGCGTGAAGGTCTCCGCAAGCCATCGCCAGCTTTCACCCTTTGTGTGTAACGATCCGCCCAGCAAGCCACGATCCGCCCAGTAAGCCAATTTCATCGCTCCATCTCCATGGGTCAACGTCCTCTCGAATGCGTTCCCCCTGCCTCGGCGTAGCGGGCGGCGATCACGATGCAGTTTGTTTTCCGCGCAGCGTCTCCCGTTCGGTGGTGCGCGCCGGCGCCACAGGACACGACGTGGCCACGGGAGAGGGCGGCTCGCCCGGGGCGTGTGAGGGGGCGGCTCTCCCGGGCCAAGGCAGCCCTGGGGCCCGTCTCTCTTTGCTCCGCTTTCATCTAATCTCCCTTCCCGGAGGGCGAGCACCGCCGTGGGGAAAAGCAACTCTTAACATAAGCGAGCGTTTGAAGTTGCGATGCTCGCTAAAACAACGGGAAGAGTAGGAGGGAAAAATACAAAAGGGGAGGGGATGAGTTGGGGAGGAAGAGTGGAGGAGAAAACGAAGGCATCGTGAGCGCTTTAAAAGATTAATAAAGAAAAAATAAATTAATTATAAATGGGCCCCATGAATAAGTAAATACATAGACCGCCCCTCTCTCCCCAGCGGTGGTGCAGGCGAAGTCACCTCTCTGGCCGCCTCCCTTTCCGATTCTCGCTGCCGAGGCCGAGAGGCGGCCGGACGGCTGGGGATTTCTGGCATTTGTGACAAGTCCTCGGAGGGCAGCGGTAACAAGAAAAGTGTGTAAATTATTCAGGGTGAGGGTTTTGGTCCCGGCCGAACAAGCCGTTCTGTCACTTGCACACTTGGGTTTGCGACATGCGTGCGTCCCCCTCTCACCCCCCACCCCCCCCCCCCCCCCCCCCCCAGAGAGCACAGGAGAGAAGGATCGAGTGGAGAAGTAAAAGGATCGGACAGACGGATGTGGTAAAATGGAGAACGAGAGATAGATGAAGACAGATTAGAGAGCGGGCGAGAGCAACGGTGAGAGGAGAGATGGCGCGGCAGAAAAGGGCGAGCTAGAAGAGAAGAACAGTGAAAAGGACAAAAACGAGAGAGAGAAATGAAAGAGGTGCAACAGAGAGAAAGATATGAATAAAAAACAGTGGGGGGCGGGGTGGGGGTACGGGAGAAAGAAATAGAGAGATGCAGAGAGACGGCGATAAAAGGAGAGGGACAAAACAGAAAGCGGAGACGACAGACAATAACTGAAGCGCAAGAAAAAATTGGCAAAGATAAATAAAAAGAACCCACAGAGAGGCGTGCACAATGAGAACTCGTCTATATGCATAGGAACACAGATTAAACATTTCATTCCATCTGACATCTGATTTCAACTAATACCATTCAAACCTTTGTAGGGGGGGGGGGGAGTAAAAAAGAAACAACAAAGGCCAGGCCACAACAAAACTAAAGCCAGGAAGACATAAAAAAAATCTCTGCAATAGAAACGTAAAAATAGAAACGGCAGTTATCGTCAGTTTTTTTATATTTTAGTGTGGTCCCATGGGACGGCCAGGGCCAGAAGAGTGAGTGAATTATTCAGAGTGAGGATTTGGGTCCCCCGCGGACCGCGCGAGCTGCCATTCACGTGCACGAGCGTGCCACTCAGCCCGACGGTGCGCACACACGCATGCGCAACACGCGGGGCGGACAGGCGAGGTGTGCGCGCGTGCCAACCGTATATGCGCGCACACACATGCACCCTACCCGCGTGTGTGATGCGCGACTGCTGTGCGCTTACCTCTGCCTCGCTCTTCCGGCGCAGAAAGTGCAGCTACTGAAGCTCCGCTGGCATGCTCCGCATATTCTTGCCGGCAAGGCGCCAGCCCTGCGCTCGTACCGCGCAGCCTCCGCCTACAGGGGCCCCCCTTGACGAGCTGCGTGGGCCACAGGCAAACGGCGGCGGAAAGACGCAGCATAGCAACGACGGTGTGCAGTTATTATAGAACATGCAGATACAACAACACACACATATGCCACCGATGACCGAATCACCCGGAATGTGCCCAATCTCGAGAGATCTTGGTAGCAAAGCAGGAATGAACATGGATAGTGGTTGAATGGGCGACTACCACGCATACAACCCAAGATAACGCCTATAAAAGCCCACACAGATGGGTCAATAAACCCAAACGCTGCATTAACATTAATTACAAGTGTAAATTAAAATCGCTTCCCAACCCTTCCACAGGGAGAGGATGCACGCAGCAGAGGGGAGCAGAGGGTCGGACCCTACACAGCCTCACGATTCGAGTCACATGGTGACAACACAGCCCAGGCCCTGATGCTGTCAGGGTCAGTCCCGGGCTGTTCCAGGGCCAGCTGAGCCCGGGTTTCCAGCAGCCGTGGGAATCAGGCTGGGAGTGTTACCTGACTCAGGGTGTCCTCGTTCTGTAATTCAGACAGTCCCTGCTCGGGGGTAGAGAGCTCCGGCCGGGAGCCATGTCATTCGCCTTGAGTTCCTTCTTCAGCCGCGTGGGCGTCTGCTCGTCCTCTTGACAGACATTAATTTTATTATCGCCGTCATCATCGTCATCGTAAGTAGCCATGATGCATCCACTGCTTTTGTTGTTCCACTGCTAGATGAAGGTTTACCCCGAGCTGCGCCAGTCATGAGAGTTGATTGGTTATACTCCATCACGCTGGTCAGCGTGGGGTGGTGGACCCAAGACTGGTTCAGATAGTAATAGCCACCGATGTGAGCCACGGCTGGCTATCAAACTCAGGACGCTGGGTTCAGAGTGCAGCAGGCTGATCATAGTACATTAAAAAAATATAAATGTATACAAACACACACATATTTAGATTTCTCGTTGCTTGTTTGTACTGTATATTCTTTTCCTTGAAATTAAGCCCAACTTGCAACCAGAGAAACAATTGCCACTGATCACTGCATCTCGATGGTGTGTGTCGAGCCGTCTGTCGCTGTACAAGCTCAATTTGTTTTTCTCACAAATGCAAGTCAACTGCATTTTAGTGACAACACTATACAATGCAGCGAACCTCATCAGGATATTTAAATTGTATTCATTGCTTCTGAAAATAAAAAAATGTGAGCAAACAGCTGCTTTAATGAGAAACAAAATGCCATTTATCGAGGAAAGTAATTCTCCTTTAGACACCTGACATACACAAAAACAAAAATCCCCATATAGCCTGAACAGAATGTTGGGGAAAGTGCTGTTAGCGGGCATGGCACACGATGGGGTGGGTTGCCAGCACCACGCACGGCCGCCTTTTTCTTCCCAATGGCTATGTTTACACACTGCACTAGGTACTCATTTGAGGCTGAGTTGACATAGGGAAGGCCCAGAACAGGTTCAGATAATTGTCACCGGTGTTGGCCGTGAGCAGGAATTGAACTTGTGTCACCGGGTTTGTAACACAACGTGCTCACCACCATACTACACACATCCTTAAGACTCATTTTCCGGTGGGTCCACATTTGCATGTGCTTAGCTGCTCTTCTTTTTGCGGGCGCTGTTTACCGAATTAACCGTACCGGTGAGTGAGTGACTCACGGTCCAAGCTCTGTTGGAAGCAATGGGGGGAAGCGACGTCAATACACGGCTACAGTGGGTAGTATTGCACACAAATATCAAAAGCAGCACACAAATGCACTGCGCAAGTCACCCCGTTAAAACACACGGTCCTCCCAGACAGCGCAATAAACTTGAGGCTGCAATCAGCACACACGCGGCCGTCTGGCAATTGTCTGAACCAGGGTTGTTCAGTGACAACCGGTAAACCAGGTAAGGTCCCATACATTAGGAACCGGTGATTCCAGTGGAATGTTAGTAACGTACGGACGTACGTGAAGAGGTAAAAGTGGAACCCTGCAATTGCTCGCTTGCTTGCGCTACTGCTGGCGGAAGGGCCAAGTTTCCAGCGTGCTCACCATTACATCTCGGCAGCTCCCTTCATTAATCAGCTGAAAAGGTAACGCAATTGTATTCAGCACTGGACCGGTAACCATTTTTTTTTTCATGCAGTTACCAGCAATGCTCCCGAGTCACTAAATCCGACTTTCCCACTCATTGCAACAAAGCCCCCACTGTCATTACATGGCCACTCGCGGCACATAATTAAGTAAGGCGTCAGGGTCACGGGTGGCGTTTCATGACCGCAACTCCAATTTTTTCCAACACGCGACTGTCACCGAACACGGCCCTACGCCGTCTGCACGATTGCATCTGCCGCTGGCGCGTGGGCGATGAGCCGAAGCCGGCGCTTTTTTAAACGTGGCTGACAAAACGGGAGTCCATTTTGTCCCCGAAGCGAGGGTGCGGGCGCAGATAGGGTGCTCGCCGTCCATGCCGTGCTCGCGCCGGGGTTAATGTCAGGGTCGATTTCCAGGTCACGGTTACGTCCCCCCGCCCCCAACCGCCGCTCCCCCCCCACCCTGCCCGTCGGGTGTGAGTGGCAGGCGCGGCAGCCAGGCGTGCTGCGCGTACGGAGATAACCAAACACAGACTTATCTGCCGCCCTCGTCTGCATTCCGCGCGCGGCCCGCTTATAAATTTATTTTTATATTTACGATACGTACCGCATTATACATTCACGCGCATATATGCCTACTGTACATCGTCCCACCTCTGCAGAGGCTCGGTGCGCAGGCAAGGGACATAATGAGACAATGACAAAGGGAGGCAAGTTGCCGCGAGGTGTGTGATGGGCAATAGGCGATGTACGCGTGCGCGTGTGCGCGCGTGCGGGAGGACACGCACGCACGCGAGCACACACACGAGCACACATGAGCATGTGCAAATGTTGCGGGCTTGGGAAGAAAGAGGAGGACAAATGCAAGTCGCGAGCCTCCTGAACAATGCGCAAAGGTCGCTTGACCACACAGCTGATATTTACCAGGCAGAGGCGGTAAGGAGATGTCTTAACGCTCAACTGGATGAGCAGGAATGTAGGTCGTTTAAAATCACGCGTGGGTTTGTAATTTTAGAGACAAGTCGTTATTTCAAGCAGAACTGTCGTCAATCACACCCTGTATTTTTCTTCATGACAGCCATCCAATCTAATGGACTGGATTGGACGCGGCTTGGTTTTTTTGGGGAAATAATTCAAATCGTACGATTTTGCACTCACTAAAAATATATATACGATGTTTTTGTTTGTAAATTCGCCTTTGCCATACCCTGCGTATAAAAATGTATGCAGGAATATCAAATCGTAGCTCAGCTCGCCATTTGTAACCGTCGCAAGCGGCCCACGCAGGTGATGCATATCAAAACAGCGGGCGCCAGCGTGACAGCAAAGGCATACTTATCCTCGCATGATAATGTGCCAGCGCGCATGGGGCTGGGTTCAAAGGGCAGAGCCCATTCAATTTGTGCCACTCATTGTAATGCGGGCGGGCTGACAGCGTGGCGGACGGGCGGATGGGCGTACAGGCAGGCGGGCGGGTCCCGCTTTCTGACAGCAATCAAGTCGCCCTCCCGACTGCCTCTCAATCACCATCCCCCCTCACTTTTTTTTAATAAGCTAATTACAGCAGCGGCAAACCAGGAGATGTGACAAGCAATAAACGGGCCTCCAGTCCACACGCATCTGACAGAAGCACAACAAGAGACGGACACCCCTTTAGCTTACCGCCCAGAATATTGTATATGCTTCCTTGATCAGAAACAAGCAGCTGTCATCAAACCCCGATCCAATTCAGTATATCCCACCCTGGCTACCGGTGGCCCCCCTCCCTTCCCCCCCTGCTCCCCTCCCCTGATGTGTTTACAGAGATGGGGGCTGCTGTGCGCCTGACCCTGCCCGTCTGCCGCCCTCCCCCCACCACCTCCGTGTGTCTGTTCTTGCCGCAGACGCCCGACGCACAGAAGTAATCGTCTGAGCTCAGTGCCAAAAACCCACAGTGTTCGCGAGCACAAGGCTGCATCGTCGGTCGACCAGCCGCACAGACAAAGAGCAAGTAGTGCCTCGGTTATGCATCGCACGTTAATCTCAATGTTGTGACATCGCCAGGTTGTGTTAAGGGTGGCCCTCGCGTTAGTATGTTAGGTGCATCCAAAACGAATCGATGTCAAGGATCGGCGTGTAATGCTGCGTAGATTACAGGCTTCGTCTAAGGCTTGCCTTTCTTAGTCATTGGTGTAAATACCCCCTCCAACATTCACCTATCTGCAGGTAAAATAAAAAGGCATAATGGGAGGACCAATCTTATGGCCACAATTGCACCTATTCTGTCTATGAAATACATTATTATTATTCTCACATTATTACTGTTGTTGTCTAGAAATGCATTATTACTGTAACTCTTAAAATCTGAACCACGAGTCTATGTCCCCTGTGGATGGCGACGACTTTGGTCACAATCTCCTTGATGTTCCGCACGAGGCTTTCCAAAAAGCTAAAATGGAACGGGGAACAACCTCAGTTGCCTGCTTGCTTGCACAAGCACTTGCCCCCTTATACGGCTGCTAAGCAGAACATTAGATGGGAATAAGAATCTCTCACAACACCGGAGGAGGGGAGAACCACACGTTTGGCATGATCTTGAGTGGTGGTGTTATCCCGCAACCGACAAAGACTGGGACCTAAAACATCCCGGACAGCTACTTCAAAAAGAGGGCTATTCCGGGAACCAGAACAGGTGGCAACCCGAGGAGTGACCTTATCCACCAGCATTTCCCCACGCAGCGCAGGCCGTACCCGATTCGCATCGTCCCCGCGCTACTCGCGCAGCGTGGAGGCCTCGGCGCACGTGGTGTCTGCCAGCTGGCGCGCGTCGTCCTCAGCCTCCATCAAGCAACTGTTGCTCCACTTCCAGCTCCTCCCGCACGTCGCTTCCAGCTGCTCCACCTGGGCACGCAGAGCAAGGGAGCAGAGTTAAGATCTCAAAAGCTAAGCGGGGCTGAGCATGGATAGAGCTTGGATGGGCAAGCATAACGCCACACCCTTAGGCTCGGTGTGTATGCTATGATATTGCATCCACATTACTTATAGAATCCATTCAGGAATCAAGTTGCTTTTAAAGTGACCACAGCAGAAATCCAATAGTCCGCGATCCAATATCCCGTGAATCCCTGTAATTAGCAGATCATTGGCGGTTCGCGAATGGCTCCCAAAATCCACAGCACACCACGGCGAATTGAACCATTTCAAATCTTTATCATGTCATATTAAGTTTAGCAAAAAGACTGGGACACTGGGTGTGAGCTTAAGATCCGGAGTCTCGCTGTGCGTCTCTCTTCATATCTCGATAAGAGTGAAACAACATTGCTAGGCGGGCACAATTTTCTTTGTGCTTTACACATTATGGTGCCTGGTTAGGTCTGTTAACACCACTTAAGACATTTTGTAAAAGAAAATCGTGCCAGTTTTCCATTCTTCACACTCACTTCAAAATTCCAAGTTCTGATTCAGTGCAGATTTTTTTTTTAAGCCGCTCAATTTTATTTCCCAGCTCAACATTTTGGCAAAACTATTCATTTGTGCAATCGCGATGGCCCCATGCACATCTCAGCCAGTGCCGGTGGCGCGGCGCAAGCAGCCGCGGGTGCACATTCAGCGCACAAGGCGCGCACCGTTAACTCGGCACGGCACAGCCGGCGTGTGCCGCTACGGGCTGTTCCCAAACCACAACTTTGCACTTTGGGGTCCTTGTGCCTCTATAAACAGGGGAGGGGGGGGGGGTGCTCGTAATGAGGAGGGGGGCTTCACCCGGATTGAAATCTAAAGAAACACCTCCAGGGAGCTGTCCACATGGGACTCAGAGGTCAGAGCACTGAACTGAGCTCCTGTGCTCGAATCCAGGTTTCAGCCGTCTGTGATTGAACCAGGTTTTCAAACATAGTGAGAGTTGGTGATCTCAGCCTGGTCACCAATGACCGCATGAAAAAAACCCTTTAAAAATGTCGGCTTTGCACTCAATCGAGCTAAATTCCAGTTCTGAAAATCAAACCTATATACTGTGCAAAAGAAGTTCAACTTACCGTACATGCATACAAACCATAGACTGTCATGTGATGAACATTTTTTCCATAGCAGGGAAAGCATGAATATGCTTCCTCCTATTTATTGTGTGGATCAGAGGTTATTTGAAAAAAAATTCAAGAAAGTAGTTCTGGGATAATTGCGTCTGCGGATCGTTCTCTAACCCGCAATCGTGCACTGCTCCACTAGAGTTCCTGATGGATTTTTCATCTCGCATGGAAACGCCGACAGCAATAAGGATATGAGAACATACTCTACACACACACGTGGTGGAGCGGGGCTGTGCGGTTAAGATTGCGGTTACCCGGTGATCTGGCCGTGCACGTGCCCGGTCTCAGGCTCTGCGTGCCACCGGCGCAAGCTGCAGCCGCATCACCTCCTGCGCCCGCGTGGCCTCCTCTGTCCTGGTGGCTCGCAGCTCTGTTTTGAGGAACTACATCTTGCCCCTGGACAATACCACGCGGTAGCAACATGGCACCATGCTCGCTCGCACCAAAAGCCTCCAACCCCGAACTGTGGCCCGTATAACACCGCACTGTTCCACATATAAATCTGAAGGCGGTGTGCATGCGCCGTTCACCAATTCTCAGACAAAGCAATTGCATGACTAAAGACTGAGAAGACTTAAACACACAAAATCAATGACGCCTACGGCGAATAACCACGAGTGACGTCCAATCACGTCAAGTTTCCGTGTCACAACAATTCACATTATGCCTGAGGCAAGTGATGGAAATTCCACATTCTTATTGAAGGTGAGTTTACCCAAAGGACAACTCCTATTAAATCCTCACAAAGCAATGTTCAGTTAATCAGCTCTGGAGGGACAAGGGTTTTGTTGACTCCTGAATGGGATGTTGACTTTTAACGTGTTGATTGGGGTGAAGCGGTGGCACGGTGGTTAGCGCACTGTGATATGAGCCTGGTGACCGAAGTATGAATCTATGCTTTGACTAACATCAGTGATGAGTAATATCTGAACCGGTCCGTTCACCAACGAGCACTTACCATCTTGGTGAAGTATGGTCAAATGTCCATGAACCGACAGGTGTGGGGAGGCCCTTGTCCAGCGGTGGATTGACAAAGGGCGGTAATTTATGCGTACAATTGTACAAATTTTCACTGTGAGCCGCACACTGTGACCAGTGCCACGGGGTTCCGAATTCCTAACGGCAGTGATGGCCGAGTATTGACCGACCTGTGCGAAGAGCGGAGGGCGGTGCAGCGTGCTGCAACAACTGATACCAAAATGTGGTCACTAACAAAGTAATTGTTAAATCAGTTGATAAAGACAGCGGCCCGAACCGATCCATGGCCCTCTCCCAGACCGCGGGCGTGACAACAGGGCAGTACGAGGTTTTAAAAAAGATGACAATTTCCGTAAACAGCTGCTCCTTGCGACATCAAATAACTGTATCGTGCGTCGACTCTGTGTGGTGACAGAGAGATGAACTAAGTCAAATAACAGAAATCACTTTCCAATTTTTCTGCCGAGTGAATTTGAACCTGTTTAGTGTCCCCTGACCAGAGTCATGGTGGGGACTGGTGGGGTGGATGGAGATAAAAAAAACATGGAAAAATGCCAGCAAAATGGTCGCGTAGCTGTGGCAGTGTTAAATTACAGTGCAGAAGCGAGGCTTAAAGGAGGGAGGTAACGGGTAATCAATGCATCGACCTCGCCTTCCTGTTACTCAAGGGTCCACGCGGCACTCGGCCGGCAGTCAATAGAACAGAGATTAACTCTTCCAGGCGGCGCCCGCGTGCCACTTAAGGGTGCTCGCTCGCCATTTAAGCGCCGCTTTCAAGTTTGACAAAATGCCCAGGTCACTCCACGGAGATGGCTTTAATTAACTCTGTGGCCTAATCTGTATTGGCACATTCTTGCGGGTCGCCCGGGGGCAAGGGGAGAAAAAAAACGAACAGGAGGACAACGGCGTTACGAGCGGCAGTGGCGGTGGTGGCGGTCGTGGTGACAGTGGGGGGAGGTGGGTGGAGTATATTTGCGGGAGAATAGGAAAAAAGAAGAGGAAGATGCGGTGGAGGAAATCCAGCAGCGGTGCCACAACTGATGCGCGATAAATATGTGTGCACGTCATTTCACGGCTGATTTGACTCAAATTATAAGTTATGAGGGCGGGATGTTAGCGGGCGTCCGCGCGGTTCACTCACACCGACATGAAGGCCCGCCAGGAAACCTCGTTAAATTGGAGACAATCAACGGGACACAAAACTCTCCCCATTCTTTTCCGCCTCAGATCGAGATGGGAAACGGACGGTTACTGCGAAGTCAATCACAAAGCCTCCCAGCTACCGCTGTGTAGGCTGATAAAGCTCCGTAGTCTCAGAAGCCGCAGGAGTACAAACAGCATGCTTTTCCAATTTTTTATCACCATTGGGTTTTTCTGCTTATTACGTGAGTATTTTCTCTTTGAATTCTGCTTTTAAAGAAAATAGTACAGAGAATTCATTTTTTTTCTTATAATCTTCAAGCCTCCCGCTGAACGAAGCATACCGCACTCTTAGCTAAAGGTTGCGCTGAAACTATAATTTAAAAAAGGTAGTTTTTTTTTGTTACGCTTTGTTGTAAAAACCTTTTTTACGTCCAAATCTAAGTGCAGTAAACATGTGTAGAAATAAAACGACACAGACTGGCAGGTGTGGCCGATAGAGCGAGCGGTCGGGTGACACGCGACGGTGCCACCCGCCAGGCGGCATGGGGATCGCGGACGTCGGCGTGGCATGGCCACCCCCGTGCAGGCGTATGTTTTCGATAAGAATAAAACACCGAATGAAAACATCGTTGCCTGGCCGAGTGGCCGGTCCCCAAGTCCCGGCTGCCTTCAGCGCGGCGGGGACAATTTCTTCCATCTCCACACGTCGGAATTTCGTATCAGAATTGCCTCTGCGCTCACGGCGAGCAGTGTCTTCGATATTACGTTAGAGTCGGTGTCAATTTTTGTTTACAATTATGTTTTGAAGTTTGGCAAAAGTTTGCCATGTTTGGATGCTGTGGTTTTCATTTACTGTAGTTGGTTTTTATTGCACATATTTAACAAAACCAAATTAAACCACCGACTGGCACGCCAGCTTTTTTGGTCCCACGTATGACTTGAATGTCACATGCCATGCCCGATGTCTGAACGCCAAGACCCAGCCAAGTGCATGGAGCCAGTGAAATGACGACGACGGTGAGACTGGCGCTACGAGCAGAGCAGGCTGGGTGCTTGGCTTTTTGATATGTGGATTGTTTTATAAATTGTTCCTCGATTTTTTACTTACTCAGCATTTTCCACATGTGCATCACTCAACCTGAGCCACCCTGATCTTTGGAACCATACGCATACTCACACTAACACACGCACACGTGATCTGACCCTCTTGATCGTTGCACAACTTTGTCCATCTCATGCCATTGCACATACGCTCACCTCCACCCCTACCCCCAATTCCGTTATTCCCACGCGCATCCACCGCACCATTCGCATCTCATCCCAGCTGGCCCCCCACACGGTGCTTCTCCCCTCCCACCGGGCGGTCTCCTAACCCCCCACCCCAAAAAACTTGCCCCCTATGCCAACCTCCCATCTCTCCGCCGCCTGTGGCGAGGAAAGCAATCTGTGCGACACGCCGCATCACGACCACTGCTGTCGCCATCGGTGCCGCGCACCTGGTGTCGTGGAGCTCCTCGCGGGGACGGGACTCCTCATCCACCAGCACCTACACGTGCTACGATCATCCGGCCGCTGTGCCTGCATTGCCGCCAGTCCCGCCCGAGTCCTCCCCGCGCGCTCCTGCTGCTGGTCATTTTGCTGTTGGAGGGGACGAAGAAACACGACAATGAAGACAATACAGCCACCAGTGGCAGCAGACAGAGAAGGAGCAGCAGCAGTAGCAGCGCGAGGAGAAAGAGTAACAGCAGCAGGAGTAGCAGCAGAGACTGCAAGTAGGTGGTGGGTGGTCAGGACTAACAGGGCTTTGGTCCCTCAAACCTAATCACCAGCTTGCATTCAAACACAGGCTACACAGTAAAACAAATAACTTGCACATCCCTAACATGAAGCTGACTCGGCAACAAAAGACAGGCCAGTTGGTAACCCGTGCATTCTTGCCATGTTAGACAGGGGAAGTGGTCTGCGTGGGAACTGTTGCAGGCACTAGGATTTGGAATAATTTTGATGATAAAAATATGTCATTAGTGCACTGTGTTCTGCGAAAATTAGTGTTCAGTGGCTCCGTAGATCCAGAAACGTCGGAAGTACAGGCCCCTACTCAGCGGTCTTCTCGCAGCAAGCATCGGCCTTCTGCAGCTGCTGCATTGCCAGCAGCTGCAGAAGGCCGACGCACGCGTGCTGCAGGGGGTCCCACCTCACCCGACTGTGCCTCTCGGTCGGCGAATGGCTCCTGCACAGTGGCTCAGCAGCCTCGGTGCACGGCGGCTCGGCTTCGGTGCCAGGCTCTCATGCTGCCACCAGGTCAGCCTTGGAGTACCGCAGCATCTCGGAGCATTCCTCCAGTTCCTGCTGTGGGGCGGAGATTGGCAGGACTTAAATTACATGTAATTACAATTTGCTATTTCAATACACGAATAACTTGTGATGGTTAATCCACGCTACTGAGAGAAGTAAGTGACCTTGGGCAAGACACATCGCCAGATAGGTTGACGGACGGTGGTCCAGAATAATAACACAGTGTCAGCCGAGAAACCGAACGAGTCCACCGAGGAGCTGGAGCGATGAAATCAGTTCGTTTCTGCAGGTGCTGGGTGGATTGTTAATAAAATGCTGCTTACGAATGACAGCGAATGCCAAATGACGATGCTGTCACCCCCGCTGCTGTGTCGCTAATATCCATTCAGATGCAGAGCGGTGCGAGCGCGGTGAAGCAAATCAATAAGAATGGCACGACACAAAATAAACACCGCCTGTGAAGATTACAAAGCATCGCGATTAATCCCATCGGCACTGCGACTACAACGAACGTTCTCTCCCTGCCCAATGGGCGATGTCAACACCGTCCCCTGTGCTCCCCCGCGACTCCGGCTGACCTCGTGTGACACGACCGGCTCCTTCTCCTCGCGCTGGATAAACCGCCAATCCAATCCGAGCGCCACACCGTGGCTCGTACCCGCTCCAGCACGCCGCTTCGGCGAAGCTGCGTGCGCCACCGACGGCTCGAAGGTGGCCGTCAGCATCGCCTCCTGCGGCTCTCGATCACAGCAGCATGTTTGGTTTAACGGCTCCTCGCCGGACGAGACTGCCGTGCTCCTGCACCGCTCGCGCACTCTCCCCCAGCTCACGTCGCCATGCCGCCAGACTCTCCCCGAGCTCCGAAAGATCCTGCCAATAATGAAAAGGGATGAGAGATGGCCACCAGGTGGCTCTGAGGTCAGAGATGCTGAGCCGGCACCGCCGAGATTCTGGGTTCGAGTACAGGTTTCAGCCGCCATACCACCCTGAGAATGATTGTTTAAGGGTGCTATATAAATGTGCATTAGTATTATTATTATTATCAGTGATTAAACCGGGTTATCAAGCTACCTACAGACCCATAAACATATATAGAGACCCACAGACTCACACAGACCCATATTCCTACATATTTACCCGCAGACTCACAAAGACAGATTTGTGATTAAACCAGGTTCACAAGCGTAGTGTGCTGATGGTCTCAGCCAAGTCATCGGTGAGTTGCACACAGACCCACATACTCACGTACAGATTTATACTCACATGGAAAACCATAAACTCACAGAGAAACCCACGGACTTACATAGACACCCATGAACTCATATAGAGGACCATAGACTCACAGAAACTGAGTTGTGATTAAACTGGATTCTCAAGAGTTGATGATCTCCGCCTGGTCTTCCACAACTGCGCAAATATCCGTAACATTAAATTCAGTTCTGCACTGAATTGAACTCAATTCCAGCTCTGGGAATTACAAATATTCATTTGACTATTGTGCAACAAACATTTCTCTCCCCTCGACTGTATAGACCATGTCCCTTGAAGGAATCTCAGAGCGAGTACTGTAATATCCGTTTCCGTGGGCCGTTCCCTAACATAGACGGTTATCTGCTCTACGCGAGATCTCAGAGGTGACTTCGTCTCATGACATGATGCGATAGTACAATCAGGATAAAATTGGTTTAAAATGACAAAAAATATATTATTAAAAAAGGTGGTCACCGCCATTGTGGCGACCGGTTCCCTCTCCCACCAGCACCACCATCACCACCATCACACAACGATGAAAACATCGAGCGAGCCTCATGGAATCAGAATCAACCGAGAAGATGGAGCGATGAAATCGTGTGCAGGTGCTGGGTGGATTGTTACATCACAGGATCGTGAGAGGGGGCAGCGGTGGGTGTGGAGAGGCCTTCATCCAGCAGTGGATGGACCATGGTTGATGATGAAAAGAGCTCCAAGGGATTATGTGGCTTATCAAGTGTTTCTTCCAGGACACCAATCAATTGCCCTGAATAATGAGGGGGCTGGAGGGAGGGTGGGCGGTTGGGGGGGGGGGGGGGATGGGAAGTTGCGAGCCGAGGCCTCACCTTCTGGAGGCACAATGTGAGTGTCATGCTCCGAGTCGCAGTGCCTGTGCGACGCGCGGTACGTCGCCAGCTCTGTGCGTGCCAGCAGCAGCGCCCCATGGTGCTCATGCTTCTGAGAATGGGCACCACCATGGGGTGCAGTGGGGGGGGAATGTAATGACATCTTGATTCAGGTCGGTAAAAATCGGATCTTGCGCTCAAGATGCATGTGTCGTGCGGCCACGCTGCCAGCAGAGGGCAGTACAGCAAATCCAATCTTGTGCTGTATTGCGCACCTGTGTCTATGCTCCCGCCTTCATCAACCCAATGCTAACCAGTGTAGTGAAGTATGGTTCACTGAGTGTGGAAGGTCTACAGGATCACTCATCAAAGGCACCACCCTCCCCAGTACTACTCACTACACTTATCAACCTCTCTGCATCACTCACCACACCTCCAGTATATATCTCCATACTCACCACCCTCCCAGCACCACTCACCACACTCGTAGGTCCTGCACGTCCCAGCGGTGCGCTACATCCACGCTTCTCTTGCAAGAGCAAGTAGCCTCTATTCACTCGCATGGTGCTATCTCAAGGTATCGATCTGATGCAGCATAATTTTAACGAGTGACATTTAAAAAATAAATCGTGACCAGCGACCGGGGCGACCAATTCACCCGTAGTTTGAGAGACACCGTGAATTTAAATGACAAGCTGCCAACCTACGTGTTTTAAAATACCAGCGACCAAATAAGATTTTCAAACAGGAGCACATTGGTGAAATTGAAATGCCAACGGAGTGCTATTTGGATCAAACCTGGAATATGTCAGAGCCCAATTACGAATAAAAGCTATCAAATTATTTTTCTACTGTAATCAATTCACGTTTTGATTGTGTACGGCTGAGTGCTGGTATAAGCACGCCCCGGCTGGTCGCAAGGTGGGTGTTAATCTTCGGATTGACGATACGGGCGTTACAAAACATCCGTCATTGATGCCGACAGTTATGGCTATCGAGCAGAGTTTGATGACCCTTGCATCGTTTTTCCGAACTCTTGGGGCGACGAGACCTGCCAATATCACTTTGCGTCGGCCTCCACCCACTCCGCCTCTACGCAAAACAAAAATCAATCCGGCCGTTAAATTTTCATGCTCATCTCGGCCCGCCGCTGTCAGCGAGCTGCTTAGTAGGTTGTAAACGGAGGGGCGAAGCCGCCAGGCAAAGTCAAATCGATGGAGCAAAGATGTCAAACATCAAGTTCTGAACCTGAGCAATAAAACAATTAGCAAATTGCAAATCCGAGCGGTCCTAACACAGCAGGCACCCACCCCACTCACCTGCCAGACGGCGCAGGCCAGGGCGCCACTGGGATAAAAACACAGGTCGTGTTTAACGCAGTTTTCTTCAACAACCTTGCGTTATATGTCGCCTGTGTTTTTTTTTTAACGGGGCGCAATGCATTGAAGTTGACGATAATTATCTTCACGAGCGCACAACCCCCCGCTCCCCGCCGCCTCAATTTAAACACAACCTTGTACAAACAGACGAGGCACAGAAAAATCGGAATCAATCAGTGCCGCAATATTTAATTACTAAATTAATTGAAAGCTAAACCTTAACGGTTTAAATGGCATCGCTGTTGACCCCTTCTCAACTTCTACACCCAGAGCGGTGGCCTTGGCCTCGGTATGGCGAGCAGCCTTTGATGTGCCCTGCCGCCGGTGGGAGGGCGAGCGGGAGCGGGCCCTAACCATCCGTCATGCTACAGACCCCCGTCATGCTACAGACCCCGGTCAGCTCTGCGCAGGCTTGGCCGGGGCCCGCGGGCCTGGCACGCCAACGGCGGCGGTCCTACGGGACGGAACGTTAACATCTCCAGCAGCAACAACAAAAAACCAAAAAGGAATCCGGCAGGGTACAGAAATTAAGATCATGTTGAATGCACGAGGGGGTCTTTACAGCGCTTTTAACAAGCAGGGCACTGCTGAGCTCATCGAACCGTGTTCCTCGGGAGTGGAGTGCGTAACATCAACCCTCCGGGGCCAAAGCGGGGCCCGGCGTCCCACGCTCGCCAATTAAACAGTGTGGTTTTTGTGTGCGTCGTTATCTGCACGTGATCGGAGAACGTTGGCTCCAGTGCAGTCGGCTCGGGCCTGGCTCCGAGTTGTGCAGAGCCCCTAACGTGCGTGCATGCCGAGTTCCATGCCCTGCTTTCCTTTCCCCATGGCAACATCTCTGTTGACTTCAATACAAATCAACGACAACAATAATAATAATTACAGCAGTGTGCTGCTCTGGCTCATTGTCAATCCAATGCTGGATTAGGGCCTCCCCTTGCCGCGTCAGTCGTGGGGGCTGTTTGGCCAAACTTTACCCTGCCATTGTTGGTCGGTAAAGGGGAGGTGGGTCAAGTGACCAGAACCAGTTCAGATATTAATCACTGCTGCCGTTGGCTATGGCTGGGAATCGAACCGAGGTCCCCGAGTTCACAGCACGCAGCGCAAACCACTGCACCATCACTCCACCCAGCGGTGTTTTCTATCAAATAAACGTACTCAATTAAAACGACAAAAACAGTGTAATTAAGAACAAGAGAAAAAAGAAAAAAATCTGTTAATATAACGACGAAGCCGAGAATATAATCAAATCGCCAGGGACAGGTCTGGGGTTCTGGCACAGGATCTGAACAACCGGGGCCTTATTATTGGCCACATCTCCCCCTCGCGCCCCCCACCCCCTCCCACCACTCACCGCTCCAATACAAGACTCACAGAACGCAGGGCTCTCTGGTGCGGCTGGCGAGGAGAAACCGGCGGGCGGGCGGGCGTGTGAGCAGCACGCAGAGCCCCGTCACCCACGTGGAAGCCGTTAAGAGCGACCAGAGGGGTCAGCGCTAAACTCTTGAAGCTCGTGCGGTGAAAAGTATTCCCTCTCTTGGGGGCGTGTGTATAAATAACCACAGTGGCCTCCCTAATACGACTCAGGTGGACGCGGCCGTGAGCTTTGATGTGAACGTAAATTTTCCGCATTAGCGAGGCGGAGTGATCGAAATTGGGAGTGACGGCTATTTTTCCTTATATTTCTCCCCGCATTCACTCCGTCAAACATAGACAAACTATCGGGACGTGTAATAACGTAGCTGAGAGAAACGCATTTCCAGCCACTTTGATTGTGCACGACTCACGCAGAAATTATATGGAATTGCGAGGCTGAGAACACAGCGTTCCGATGCAAATAACAAAGAGTAATCTGTCACATCACCCCACACAGCCGCCGCTACCTACAAGGTGGCTTCTCGCAACAAAGGGATATGCGCACTTAACATCAGGCGGTGAGTGTATTGCGATGTCGACTGAGTAAGATTCCCAGCCGTGGCTAACATCAGTAGCGAGTGAAATCTGAGCCGGTCCACCCCTTTGACCGACAAGCATTGACCAGCGGTGGTGAAGTATGGTCAAACAACCCCCATAACCAACACGCTATGGGGAGGCCTACATCCAGCGGTGGATTTATAAAGGACGACAGTATATATACTTCATACATAACCACACAATAAATACAAACATATCCAGGGTACGTGCGATCAAGTCACACAAAATACAGAAAACGTACGGTCAAAATAACACGAATATATATTGACACATACCCATATATATACAATTACATATATACGTACTACAAAGGGCCGTTAAAATTACAGTTATTCAAAGTATAATCCACATCCAAACTGCTTGCGAGCTGCCCTTTGATGTGCTGACGGGTTTGTTTTGCTCTCTCCCTGCCTGCCGTCTCCCCCATCTCTCCACTCGCTCTCTTTAATCTCCCTTCCCTTCGCAGGCACCCCCGCCACTGCCGCCTTTTTCGCCTC